CCGTAGGGCGCACTCCCCTGTGCACTCTTCCCTTCCACCGTGAGGTCCAACGACTGACCAATATAATCCCCTTCCTTCTCCCTTTTTTCTCTCCCTTCCCATATGGAGCAGCAACCAGCCCTTCCTTTACCCTCTGAGGCTGCTGCAGAGAGAAACAGGTTATGGCACCGCCGGGGACTCTTACGACAAGGGTTTCTGCAGAGCAGTCGCTCCCGTCCGGGCTCCCCGACCCCCGAGGCCACCCGAGGCCCCGCCATACCCCCTCTCCCCCACCCCGCCACCCGCCACGGGCGGAAGATGCAGGAGAAGATTAATTGGTCATGCAGAGCTAACACACAGGCTTGCACCAAGCCAACAGGAGCCTGGACCCGCTGGGACCAGCTCCTTCAGGGCTCTCGGGACTGTTGGGGACCTGCGAGGCCACGACACCGACCTGCAAAAAAGCTGGAGACGGGGCAGAGAGGGAAACCAGAGAGATCTGCGGGCCCCACCACCGACAGCTGAGCTTTCGATGTTCCTAAGCCTACCGTTTCCCAGGGCTTTCTGGTTTGGTTTTGTATCTCCTTGTTGGTCGGCTCTCCGGTGTAAACCGCTTTAAAAATGGGGCAGGAGGGAAAATTTCAGAACAGCAACTGAGGGGCGATACAGGTGCAGGCAGGTGGAGGGGACCCCAGCCCTGGGGGGTCTGTGACTACCCCTAGGACTGACTTCCTTCCCGGCCAATTCATCGCCACCTGTTTAGTGCCGCTAGGGGTTAAAATCCTTTTTGGAACAAGGCCAACTTTTTAATTAAATAAATACATACCCACCGTGTGCAGGCCCTGTGCCAACTGGAGAAAAAAACAATAACAAATGTATGAGACCCAGTCTCTGCTTTCAAGGAACCCTAAATCAAAAGGGAGCAAGGCCCTTAGATAAATGCCCCATTAAGGAGGGTCCTAAAAGTCACTGTTGTGCAGAATGTGCGTTGTTCACTCACAGCTCACTACACTACTGTGTGGTCCTCAGCAGCATGAGAATTACCTAAGAGCTTATGCGACGCACAGGCTAAGATTCCACCCCAGACCTACTGAGTCAGAATGTACATTTTTAACAAGATCCCTTGGAAATTTGTGTGCACCTTCACGTGTGAGAAGTGCTCCCTTTTCGAACCTGCTCCAATGACTGTAGCCGGTCACCACCCTCACGGTTCCCTCCGGACGGAGTAAGCAGGGATCATTTTGCTTGTGTTAGTCTGGCATAGTGACACAGGTTAGAGATGCCAGAGGGCCAGGAAGGGAGAAGGCTCACTGATTATTTTCAGCAGCTCTGTTTCAATACCAACAAAGATAGTGAAGGCACGAACACAAAACTAATTGCAGTGGAAACCCCTAGAGGAAATGAAATGGAAAAGGCCAGGGTTCTGTTTCTGTCTGCAGAGATGCCTTAACACTGAGGCTCACTCTCTGTACTGGTGACCTCAACCAAGCATGCCTGCCTGTGACAGAAAAGACACTTTTCATACGTTTGGAGAATTTTCTTCTCATTGACTAGACTGTACAAGGATGCATTCAGCAGTAGCAAATAGAAGACTATAAAACATTGTTAAATATGACACTTAGAGAGCTAGTCAAGGGCCCTTGGCATCAAATTTAAGCCAAAGGAAAAAGTTAAAGTGAAAATATGCTATTGTCCTGTCCATAAAACAGTATCAGGGTCACATTGGTTAAAGCAACGCCAATGAACAAAATGGCATCTTGTTACTAGCATTTAATATTTTCTTAAAACTTTTGTCCGTGGAGCTCACCTAGGGCTGGTGAAAATATGTGTTTTTGAATCCAAAACAGGCCAAAGGAGTTATTAGGTGTCTGTCTTTAGACATTTAGTCAGCTCTTTAGTAGGACATTTTCTTTTCTTTGACATTTTTCTCCTGCTCTCAGTTAATAGAACGCTTGGAATAATTTCTCATGCACAAATGGATTCCTTTTATTTGACAGTTTAAAAAGCAATTCATTTGAAATTGTACTTTTCACTTTATTTAAATAGTGCCCATTACCAAATAGCCTCAGCTCCAGCTCTAGTGACTCATTCTGCAGAAGAGAGAATTGGGTTTTCTGTACCTTTTGGATTCAAAGCATTCAGGAGCATTTTCTAAATCAGCAAAGGCCATGGGACAAATGGAAAATGCATTGCTGGGTTCATCCTGGTCCTGGCTTCAATGCCTTTGGATTCAGAATATCTCCTCTGCAATTGTGTCTTCTGATACGACACTGCAGGGAATTGTCTACCTGGCCAGAGTTTAGGCCATTTTGTTAGGAAGTCTCAGCCCAGGGGAGGTGAGTACCATGATATTTTTCCTTTCCTGTGACATGAAGAGCTTCACCATTTAATTCATATCTTACTTCATTTTAAAAAGTTTTCTTTGCTAGAATGACTTCTCCATGACTTCTAATTTCCACTTTGCCTTGAAAATGACTGTCCATCAGCCCCGGATAGGCAGCAGTTCTCAAACTTCACCATGCTTCGGAATCCCCTGGAGTTTGTTAAAACTCAGGTTGTTGGGCCGCCGCCTCCCCAACTCCACTGAGTTTCTGCTTCAGTAAATTCAGATTCAGAGTAGGGCCTGAGAATGTGCATTTCTAACAAGTTCCCAAGTGAAGCTGATGCTGCTGGTCCAGGGGCCACACTTTGAGGAGCGCTGGGCTGAGGGATGCTATGATGACAGTCACAGCACTAAAACAGCAGCAATTTGTTTCCGGCTCGGGCTTCTGGTCTACCAAGAGGTGTGTGTCTTGAGGAGGGGTCAGTCAGGTACCCGGAAGCAGCCACAGTCTCAACATGGCTGTTTGCAGTGCCCGAAGGCAGAGACCTCTGGCGCCTCCTGTGCTGACCGTTAGATGCTCTGGCCTGAACATGACCGCTCTCACCTCTACTCACCACTCATGGCCCCAGGCTGGTCACATGGCCCCACCAATCCGTGAGGAGGTCCAGAAGTACCATTCTTCCACTGCAGGCTAAGATCTGAACTCTACAATGGGCGGCCTTGGTGACGACCACATCAGTGCAAACCTTGCCTCTCTTCCTTGCTTTCTAAGACCTCCCTTGCCTGCCCCTTCCTCTTCTCTAGTAGAGTGGATTCTGCCATGTCCTAAAGCCCCTGGACTACATCTCCATTCTGGCATTTCCTTTTTTTTTTTTTTGGAGACAGTCTTGCTCTGTCACCCAGGCTGGAGTACAGTGGCGCGAACTCAGCACTCAGCTCACTGCAACCTCCGCCTCCCGAGCTCAAGCAATTCTCATGCCTCACCCTCCTGAGTAGCTGGGACTACAGGCATGCACCACCATGCCTGCTAATTGTTTGTATTTTAGTAGAGACAAAGTTTCACCATCTTGCCCAGATTGATCTCGAACGTCTGAGCTCAGGCAATCCACCTGCCTCAGCCTCCCAAAGTGCTGGGATTACAGGCGTGAGTCACTGCACCCAGCCTCATTCTAGCATTTCTATCTCATTGTTTTGTGATGTGGGTGAGATTATCTGTCTCCTTTTAGTGGGTGAAGGCCTCAGGAGTTGCCATCCTATCCACAGCTCTGAACACAGCACCCTACCATTAGGTGCTTCATATATGAAGTATTTATTGAATGAGCAAACAAATAGATAAAGAATAGTTGCCCCTGTTATATGGTATCTGCTCTACCACCACTTCAGCCCCACCCAGGCACTGACCCCATCTTCGCTGCCAAGGTTACCAGTGACCTGTGAGTACATCTCCCAGAATTTGACCCTCTTACACATGTTGACTCTTACTAGCCACCATTCTTTATGTTCTTGACAATGTGTGATTCTGGTTTTTGTCTTCCTTCTTTGACAAGCTCTTCTTGGTCCGTTTGGGGCACAGCTCTCCCTGGTCCTCTGGGGCTCTGTTCTAGTTCCTCTTTTCTTCTCACCATTTACCTCTCTTCCTGGGAGAGTGCATTGTTGCTCTCTGCTGCCGACTCACAAGTCTGTATCTCTAGCTGGAAACTTCTTGGTCATTTCAGCCTGCATGTTTGGGGGATGAACTTTGTCTCCCCGTGTCTCCCACATCTTTCCTCGCAGCCCATCATCAACCAGGCCTCGGATTTGTCCACTTCTTGCCATCCCTGTTGACAGCTCTGGGTCCATTTCCCACCTGGATCACTGCAGCAGCCTCCTTAACCAGCTTCTCTAACCCCAGTCTTTCTGTCTCTCCCTTCTTCACCCAGCATCTGGAGGAAGAAAAATCTGATTACAACCCTTCCTTCCATAAAACCGTCAGAGGCTTTCTGGATAAACTTCCAACTCTTTCGCTTGGCTTTTAAGATCCCACATGGTCTAGGCAGTACTTCCAACACTGACTACACA